CTATGTCACGACGAATAGCTACCTGTCGTGAGGTCACGACATATTGTATTATCCATGACTAGAAGGTCTAGATCGATTGAGAAAGGAAAGGTATGCAAAATGAACGGCTATTTGTCTCCGAAAGTTGACAAATAGCCGCTGGTTGAAAAAAAAAACGGGCGCAAGGTGCAAAAGACTGAGAGTACCGGGGGTCGAACCCGGGCCGCTAGATTCGAAGTCTAGTATGCTTCCACTACATCATACTCCCTTCCGAAGCGCCAAGCACCCTTTTTAGGAAGGAGTCTCCCGTCCGAATTGAACACCGGCAACTCTGGAAAACATAAGTAACCTTGGCCAGAACTATCACGTGACGAAATTTGGCACGTCAATTGACTATCTAATGGACGAAAATATGAGTTGAATGCCTTAAATAAGCAATTACCTTTTCAGCTCTTCTGAGGCATGTCACTTGCTCATAAAAAAAAAAGCGATTACCTTTTCTGCTTAGATTAAACATCTTGCAGCCAACAGGAAGCTTGTGGATGGGCTGTGTGTGGTAGTAGGCATCCTATAGTGACAGAGAGGACGTACCATATCAAGCTTTCTTTTTCATAGCTTACCCAAGTTGTGGGCACTATTCCTTCAGGGTGCAGTGGTGACCAGGGCTACATATACGCTGCGGTAGCCTCCTTTGTGGGAGCAGCGCTGGCTTCGCTCTCCTCAGTCAAAGGCTTAGGGTTGTTACTTTTCAGCAAAACAAATATATCGAGGTGGGATTGATCATCTATGGATTTTTTTTAAAAAAAGACAAATAACGACCAGAGTTTAGTCAGCAAATGCGGTCCAGATGAGAAAAGTCTGAAAAGTCTGAAGAGCTGGCGCTTTTTTTTTTTTTTGGCACAATGGCGGATAAAAGTAACAATGTACAGATTTCTCAGGGAGTAAATGTGGTTCCTCTCTCTGGATTGAGATCTACCTTGTATCCTGTTGAATGTGACCCAGCGCATTCTCATTTGTACAGCACACTCTCTTGTAGGTTAACTAGCTGACAGGGGCTCCATATCTTTGCACATTCTGTTGTCTACTCTGGAGAAAAGATACTTTGTAGAGTGAAATGGGGGGGGGGCTAGGCTGCCTTACAGCAGCTTTGAAAAGGGGAGGTCAGGGTAGAAAAGAAATGAAAGGTAGAAAAAGTAAGAGGGGTTTTTTTTTGAAGATAAGCGGTCTGTTTTAATTGAGTTTCTTCAAACATCCAGTGTCCGTTGCAGTCTCATTCGCCGCCACCAAAGAGCAGGGCGGGTTTGAAGGCATGTGGCTTGTTAAACAAATAATGATGGACATGACTGCGAAAAAACAAACAGATTGCCCCTGCGTCTCTGATGCTCTCGGTGGTCAAATTTTTTATATAACCTTTTTTTTGTGTTAGTCCTTTCTCTCATTCACTCCTTCTCAAATACCCCATTCATTACCGACCTTTCCGACATGCCCTCAGTAGAAAAGAAGGAGCTGGCCACTGCTGCGGTCGAGCAGCCCGCAGTCGACGTCAAGAAGGACAAGAAGGAGAAGAAGGCCAAGAAAGAGAAGAAGGACAAGAAGGATAAGAAAGACAAAAAGGAGAAGAAGGGAAAGAAGGACAAGAAGGATAAGAAAGAAAAGAAGGAAAAGAAGGAGAAGAAGCGCAAGGCCGAGGATATGGACAGCAACGACGCACCATCGTCGTCGTCTTCTTCTGCCGATGAGCAGCCTGCCATTAAGAAGCTCAAGGCTGTTGCCGTGGCTGTCGAGCCCATCAAGGTCGGAGGTAGTGTGGTCGGTGGTCAGGAGCCACCCAAGGGTAGCAACGCTATTATCAAGAACTTTTACAATCCCGCCACCAACAAGACGACCAAGGAGCAGGCACAAAAGTTTTACAAAGACAACACCATCGAGGTCTCGGGCGACCAGGAGTACCTGCCCGTGCTCAAGTTTGACGAGGCTGGCTTCACTAGCGAGATGCTCGAGTGCACAAAGTCGTTCAAGGCACCCAGCCCAATCCAGGCTGCTTGCTGGCCCATCGTTCTTTCTGGTCGTGATATCATTGGTATTGCCGAGACTGGGTAAGTACCTGCATATTTGCTCTATTTTGAAAAAAAAACGAGAGTTGTTTTTCCATTTCTTACCAACAACTTGTCATTTCATGTTTTTAAACAACTAGCTCTGGAAAGACATTGGCGTTCACTCTTCCAGCACTGATGCACATTCACGGCCAGTCCAACTTTAGCAAGAAGCCCAAGGGCCCAACAGTGCTTGTCATCTCTCCAACACGCGAGTTGGCTGTGCAGACCCATGAGCAGTGCGAAGCTGCAGGCCGGGCCTCTGGCATCAAGAGTGTGTGCATCTTTGGCGGTGTGAGCAAGGATGACCAGCGACGGGCGATCCGATCTGGCGTGCACATCATTGTGGCAACACCTGGCCGTCTGATCGACTTGCTGGAAGATGGCAGCTGCAATGTCGACACAGTGTCCTACCTGGTGCTGGACGAAGCTGATCGCATGTTGGACACTGGATTCGAGGAGGCGATCCGTAAGATTCTCGGCCGCACACGCAAGGACCGACAGACGGCCATGTTCAGTGCCACATGGCCAGAATCGGTGCGCAAGCTTGCACACGACTTTTTGGCCAACCCAATCAAGGTGACGATCGGCTCGCCAGATCTCGGCGCTTCGTCCAATGTCACACAGATCGTCGAGGTCCTTCAGGATCCGCGCTCGAAGGAGCGCCGCCTCCTTGAGCTTCTCAAGGAGTACCACAAGTCGCGCAAGAACCGTATCCTGATCTTTGCACTCTACAAGAAGGAAGCCGATCGTATCGAGCAGTGCCTGCACCGCGCTGGCTACAAGGTCGGTGGCATTCACGGCGACAAGAGCCAACACCTGCGTACACAGGCCCTCGAGGCCTTTAAGAACGGCTCTGTGCCTCTCTTGGTCGCCACGGATGTTGCTGCGCGTGGTATTGATATCAGCGGCATCACTCATGTTATCAACGTCACCTTCCCATTGACTATCGAAGACTATGTGCACCGTATTGGACGTACGGGTCGTGGAGGCTCGACCGGTACGGCCCATACCTTCTTCACCGTGAACGAGAAGGCTCTTAGCGGTGCCTTGATCAATGTTCTCAACGATGCCGGCGTTCCAGTGCCAGATGAGTTGCGCAAGTTTGGCGGTACTGTTAAGAAAAAGACACACTCCATCTATGGTGATCATTTCAAGGATTTGGGAGGAGAAGTCAAGCAGCCTACAAAGATCCGTTTCGAGTAGAAAAAAAATCTATCTCCCATTCTTTGTTTATTTTTTTCCCTGTTCGACTTGCATTTTTATTTCATTATTTTTTGTTATTTTGTATTCCACAGATATTTCATCATATTCTCCATCCTTTCCCCATTTACATTTTGTACTTGTAGCTCTATACAGCTCGGTGTAAAAAGAAAATAGAAAACCATATATCTTTCTATTCCTCCTGTGGGGTTATTCATCAAATAGCTCGCCATAACACAATGTCTCTGGTATTGTAGCGGAAAAAAAGAAGAAAAAGAAGGCCGACAAGCTTACGTGAAACAGAATGACCCTGCAGAGAATGTAACTACCAAATCGACTTTGTTCATTGGGTTGTGCCTGTTGACATGACCTTAGAGCCACCTTTTTTTTATATATCCCAGTAACAAACTCATTTCAGATCCACAGTGTCCGTACTTTTTTTTTTTCTTTCAGAAGGCTATTATTCCATGCTAGTAAAGGAGTTGGAAAAAAAGAAAAAAAAAATAGAAGACAGAAAAAAAAGTCGAGGTTTGGAATTTCTGAAAGTTTGGATAGTTCTCGACAACAACAATAAAAAATGGAAACAAAAAAAAAGAAATAAAGTGACTCAAAAAAAAACATGCAAACGTAGAGGAACGTAGAAAAAAAAGAAAAAAAAACAAGATCAAAACTATGAACACAATTAGAACAAGAGTCGGCACGCGTCAGGTAGAAAAAAATAGATTTCTTTTCATTCTCGACTCTTTTCTTCTGTTCTTGTTGGCATTGTGGTATCCTCTTGCGACCGACAAATACACGCACATCCTCCTCTTTCTTTTTTTAAAAAACAAATAACAACAATAACAAATGACCGATCCAACGAAACTGCGGTGAACAGTCCTGTGTTACGCCTTTGCATATGTGTATGTGGGATTCTACCTGAACCTTACTTGATTCAGGAGTTGTCATTGTGTTTCTCCATCATCCGATACTCATTTTATGATAACAGCTTCGCACGGGCTCGAGCTTCACTCAGCCGTTCAGGCTCGTCTTGTGTCGGATGAACACCATCATTACGCGCCGCCTTGACGGTATAGTGTCTCAGCAAAGCATCACGACGGACAAATGGACGATGGCAAAAGTCGCACGGCCATGTCATCTCGTTGTGCTTTGAGATATGATGGCGCTTCAAATCATGTACCCGTCCAAACCGCTCGCCAGGACACAGCTCACACCGGTACCCGCCACCCTCCGCCGCCAACTGTGCCCGTGCCTTTGACAGAGCCTGCAATGTCGCATCGTCTGGTACCACATGATGCGTCGTCACTGTTACAGCACCTCCTGCGCTTCCTCCTGCGGTGCTGGTGCTTGTAACACCGCTGACTGCCGTCACGCTTCCTCCATTGGTTGCGCTCACTGTAGGGGTGATCGGCATTGTCGAAGCTGGTGTAATTGCCGTCGCTGCCGATAATGTCGATACCGCCACCGCTGCACTCGCAAGTGTCGACAGAGGTGACTCTGGCGGCACCTTGGCCTCGTCCCAGTTCACACGCGACCGCTGCTTACGTGGGGGATATACCTTGAGCGGCTTCTTCTCTGACGGAGGAGCTCCCTTACGGACACGCGGGGCCTTGCCCGTTGTCGTTGTCGAGGATGACGATCCAGCTGCAGCGGACGATGACGTCGACGACGTAACATCATTTGAAGTAGCCGTTGCAATGGCGGCCGAAGCTGCAGTGGCATCAAAGCTCTTAGACCGAGGCTTGGTGTCTCCAGCTGTGGGTTTCAGGCTCGAGCTAGAGCTGGAGGGGCTATGGCTTGAACGCCTATCCTGTTGTTGTTGTTGTTGTTGTTGTTGTTGCGATGGTGAATCCACCCGTTGTGGTGAAGGTGATGGCGACAAAAGTTGTTCTTGCTCTCCTTCATTGTTCGGAACACCAACCATAGGGATAGGTGGGACCTCGGCAAGGCTAATTCCGGCAACAGTGTCTGG